AATAATTCAATGTGTTATACAATATTCTTCGCTATTTTCAAGAACCGAAACAATTACAAAACACTTGTGTTAATAAATTTCAGCACAATATTTTTTCTTCAATTCTAATAAATTCAAAAAATCCCATAACATAGTTATACACGACAATTAAATAATTTTAAATTTATATTTTAATTTGATAATTACACTTTCAGTAAATACGTTTTTTTTTTTTTTAGCTGGCATGAGAGTTATTTATAAATGTCACGTCTGCGTTCCACTTTATTATGTATATAAGAAATTAATTTTCAATCAACCGGGGTAACCATTTTCAAAATGTTGTACATTTTTTTCAACTCACGTTTACTGAATACAGTAAAATAGTTTTTAATAAAGTAAATATTATAATTACGGAAAACAAATATATTTTATAAACACAAAGGGATTTACCAGTTATGAGTACGTTATAACCATAACAACCATGTTTATTAGTTTACTAGCTATCTTTGAAATATTACATCGATGACATGCATGGAATACTCCTTGGAAAATTAAATCCTTATCATTTGTTACAATCGATTGTTTCATGTTCGCACTACAACGATATACAGTCAATGGTAGCGAAGTAAGAATATTTTCATGTTTTTCCAATTCGTAAAACGGTTTTCTTTTTTTTTCTATATCATAATTCTAATTTTTCAATATTGTGGACCATTCAAATTTATTATTACTACTTAAACGACAATATATGGAGAATTTATTAATGGAGGTGTATAATAACGGTGATTATTATTTATTAATTTGTTTTTACTTTGTTGAACGATTTTTTTTTTATCATAAAAACTAATATAACAAGCTGTTGATGTATTCGCTCTGCAATGAGTATAATATTATATTTTTTCATCATATGTTATACAATACATTTCTCAGAAATAATAATGTCTTCCAACTTTACTTTCCGTGAAGCATTGTATATTTTGAGATTTCAATAAATGTGTACATTAATACCGAGATTGTAAGTTTACATTTTGATGATTCACCCTTAGTGAACTCGTTGGCTTGTACCATGCAATTTCGGAAATGTTTACATTTTCGACAATAATTGGGAATTAAAAAAGATTTCCACAAAAATCAAATTATTTTGAATCGCTTAGACTGTCATGTAAACTAGTGGAAATCACGCGATTACATGGAACGATATGGGATTTTAAATACGATGGTTTATTTTTATTTATTTTTGCAGTGATATACCAGCCGGTAAATTTGGAAACGGTCAAGGTTTATGACTTATCTACTTTGCAACACGTTGTGTGGGTTACAATTGAAAACAACGGCAATCGAGTTCAACAACTCCCGGAAATTTTCGGACACGCGGACGGTGATAGTAACGGACTACCCGAACCCAAGTTTATAAAGCGACAACATACTGTTCTGGATACGACAATAAGACACATGGTCAATTCACAGATTCCCTGCGCGCCCACACTACAGAGTTATCAACATTCAATTGTTAATAACGTACAACCAACAGTTAACCAAAAGAAATATGTCGAAAAAAGTGACCCAAAAATGAAAGTTAAAAACTTGAAAATTGATTTTGTCGAAGAACTCAAAGAACGTTTAAGTAAAATGAAACTTAACGAGAATTAATTCATAAAAAAAGAAAACATTACATGTATTTAAATAAGACGTTTTATATAATAATATATTGGTACGTGATGTTTTCTTTTAAATTTATATTAATATAAAAATAAATAAAAATAGTTAAATATACATTTTATAGACTTTTTTATATATTCAATAAATATCAAGGTTGATTGTGATAATAAACTATCCACGCAGTCATATTTTTTCTCAATAATTTTTTGTTCAGAATTTATTTAATGGAAATATAAATTCCACAGTTTTTCCGAGGTTATTTGTATATGTTTATGTGTAACACTTATAATGACATTTCTATACTTTTATTTTATATATTTTTTTCTTTTACAACGATTTGTGATTTAAAATCAGTAAACACTAATTAATATTGAAAATAAATCCATTATACTTTTACGGCGCATCATTAATATACTTAATTTTTATCAATATAACTCCATTGACTAATAACGATTATGAATAAACAAAATTAACTAAAGGTATTTATTAAATTGAAAATCAATAATAATACCCACTTTAAAAATGATTCGCGTAAAACACATACCGAGGTCATCCGGTGCAATGTTTTAAAAAAACTATAAACGTGATAGCTCAACGAGTAGAGGTTGAAAACTGATGAATATTGGTAATAATAATAATTATTGTTCTTCTATACCTAATGTTTACTATTTAAATACAAAATGTTATAATATAAATTTATGGTCCCGTTTATGATGTATATTTTAACAATAATTTTAACTGGTATTATTTAATATGCGGAAATTAGTGGATTTCCAAAGGACGATTGGTTTTGTTAGATACTTTTATATTGTTAAACCTAATTCTAAGAGCAGTGATTACGTAACGGAATTTTAAGACCATAAAATTCACCGAAACACTAGCATTTATGTACATACCTACATTTTTTTTCTTTTAACCCATTGCTGTTCGTTCATTATCCAATCATACCTGGGCTGTTGTTCTCACAGGTGTTTATATTGTTACCAAGTTTTAATTTTCAGTCAGTTACATATTTTGAAAAATTTCCTGAACCATTGTTCAATGTAATTTAATTTGGAAAATTAGTTCATAATGGTTTAATCCAATATAAATATTTTTCTTATAAACTACAGTTATTATTATTAGTATTATTATTACACTACTCGAAATTTTTCATAACCCATAGACTACAAAGATATTTGGAATAATGACATTCATTATAAATCATAATGCGTTTACTGGTTGCAGAAACCATCTCAAAATTAAAATTATCACTATCGTGAAATGTATGTGGGAACACGTTTATTTAGAATATAACGAGGAATATAATTAAACATGTAATAAATAAGTATAATAAATGTATTGTTCATATCACGGTATTTTTTTCTAAAAAGTAGATGAGACAAGAAAAAATATTGCTGTTCGATTTATTAGATTGGAATCTAAATGTAACATGAAAATAAAATGAATTTAAATCGAAACGTAATGAACCAATTAGTATTCATGGATAGAACACTTTTTATTACCATTAAATCAGAAAACCCCCGGCCAAGTAATAAAAAATGTACATTAAAAAACGTACAGGGAACGAGTGAGAGACACGTTGAGACAGAGAGGGAAAAAAGGTCATGACGTGTGCTTACACTTGACTCTTTTTTTTAATAAGTCCCCGGGTAATAAAGTACTGGTGGAAGCACAAAGCGATCTAATAAATTATTCTGAATCTTTATTTTAAGTCTCTTATCGTGTTGCTGTAATATAAATTGTATACATGTATTATATATGAAATATATATACATATATAAAGAGTATTAACATACAATAGAAAATAACTCGAAAGAGAAATAGAGAGAGAACGAAAATGAGACAAAAATAAAATCATCTCAATAATGTTCATATTTATTTTTATAATATTTTATTATTATTATTATTTTTATTATTATTTGACTTTTTGTTGTGCCAGTTGTTACAAACTGTGTGTGTGGCTAACAAAGCAAAGAGAAGAAATCGAATGATTGTTTACAACATGTGTTCGTCAGCAGCGAGTGTGGTTAATGGAGCCGGTTTTCAATACTTCTCGTCATCCCATCATGGGAAAAACAAGGAAAAGAATTTCTACGCCATGACGGCAATCACATTTTTCAGGACAAAATGCTATACCCACCTATAACTACTCCTAATAATCTGTATAAATGATTAAATATCACCCGGATCCTTTAACAAGAGATTGATTAGCGATCTACTTGATGCAGATGAACCACTATAGCAGTGCTTCCCAATTTTTTTCGACTCAAGGCACCCTTTTTGATCCAAGGTTTTTTCAGGGCGCCCTTCTCTAAGTCATAGCATGACTAATCATAAGGAAAATGTTAGACCCGATAGTATTTCATGACGGCGCGGCGCCCTTATACATACATCGCGGCGCACACTTTGGGAACCTATGCACTATAGTATTAAGAGAAATTTAAATTTTTGTGTGAACGAATTTGAACTTTAATTTCAATTGCACGCATAATTCCAATGGCTGATGGACGCGGGTCAAGCAGTAAATTATAACGTGTATAATATACACTGTATATTTATGAATTAAAATATAATGTAATAGTATTATAATAATCGGTATAGCGGCCGATATACCTGTAGATGTAAATTGTAATAGCGAAAGATCAAATAAAACGTTAAAACTATTAGTTTTTATTGTAAATTCAGAGTGAGGTTCATCGGAATTGTTAAATTTTTTTTCTTATGATTATTTGATTTTACTATTATTGGATTCGATATTGAAATGTGAAATTCCTAAGTGATCGAGGTGTTCATATAACATATGTCTCAGGATGCTGGCTGTGGTAGGTTCAAGGCCAACCAAGGTCATGGTTGGTTGACCCGACACGGGTACCAGTGGTTAATTCATTAATCGTTGTTATACCAACGTTCTTTCAACCACACAATTTTATTTATTTATAATTATATATTTTTTTTTTTATTACATAAAATCAATCTCCCAGATTTTATTCGACTCGTAACGAATATACAAATATATATATGAAATCGATTATTATTTTAACGAACCTTTTCTGCTTATTTTCAAGTAGTAAATTAATCATTGAAAAATAAAACAAAATACCAATAAAACCGGTTTTCAGTTAGTAATTTATATCCTAAGTGCGTTGTGTGACCGATTCAGCGGACGCTGAATAATTTTCATAATTAATTAAATAATATGAAATTATTTTTTTTTTTTTAAAATTCCGTAGGAATAATTAATTACGAAACAGAAATAAAATTAAAAACAAAAAAAAAAAATTCCTATAGCGTCCTAAATTTTGTTTGTGGATTTTAATCCAGCAGAGGAAACTAATAGTAATATCAAACATCGTATTTACCTTATATAAATATTGGTCGAACATTCGGCATACGTCAACGTCGTTTCCAATGCAATAAGTAGCTTCCATGTTTCGCACTAATATTTAATACGACGTCCTAGGCGTTCCTAGGACTGTTAACGGCCGGCAGAAATCGCAAAACATATAAATGAAACGATATGGACGATCGGAAGAAAAAAAAAATAAAACAAATTCAGACCGTAGGTATGAACGAAAATAAAATATTATGTTTCACGTAAAAAGCACTTCACTCGTGTATTTGATAACTCGGACGAGAGGAACGGCAGAGAGAATCCGAACGCGGTTACAACATTTACCACGGAAATAATCGGTACCAAGCGGTAGGCAGGTGCACGGTAGCCGTCCAGATTCGGTCTGCGGAGTGGACCGCGGAGCGAACGGTAAGGAAAAACCCGAAAACCGACGATTATTTTGATTTCCAAAACACAAGCGACGATGGCAATGGCGGTCGAGCGGCCGCGGAGTGCGTCGAACACGGAAAACAATAAAAAAAAAAAAAAACCAAAAACCAAATTTCG